GCCTCGCTGCCTTTTTCATGGCACCCTCCTCGTGCTCATATATATATAGTGTAGGGACTAAGTCATCCAGCTCCTTCCCCTCTCTGAGTCCTCTAGAGGTACCACTTGATGAAGTATCCCACAACTTTTTGTGCCGATCCTTCAGCTCCGATTTCAATGCATCAAACTGTGGACACCTAGAGTGTGCCACCAAATCTGGGCCACCAACATTCACCTTGACAAAATTGAATTCATCAACCAATGGTTTGACAGTTCCATCACCATAGAGTTGCTTCGTACGACCTGCAAATGGATCAGCAATTGGGGGGCCCCCAAGTTGCTCCAAGTAATAGATTTCTGAATCCAAATCAAGAATCCAGAACTGTTCATCCTGATCAGGCACTGGGTGTACAGTTTCAACGATTGCATTGGAGCCCAGTGCCTTCACGATGATCCCGATTTTGTTGTGTCGATGGCTGATAAAAACTAAGCCTTTCAGACAGTTGCTAGTTTCATGGACGTTTTCATTCACCACCCAGAATCGTCTTGTTCCATCCGGCAAGAGATATTCCAGATCAGTTGGAGTGCATTTGGCTTTCACCTCCAGAATACCCAATGTATCGAACTTGTCCACATACACCACCGTCTCTTTTCCCACGACTTTGTTCAAAGCACCATTGGTACGATTCCCACCCTGGTTGTCATCGGCACGGACCATGACAGGTGGTACTTCATTCCTTGGTGCTTTCTCTTTTCCCACTGCTTTGTTCAAGACACCATTGGTACGATTCCCACCCTGGTTGTCATCGGCACGGACCATGACAGGCGGTACTTCATTCCTTGGTGCTTTTTCATGCTGAGATTTGTTACGGTGTCGACACTTTGGGAGATGGTGTTGGTGTTGATGCTTCTGGCGGACCTTCTTGTTCTTCTTGTTCTTCTTGGATGCCATTGTTGGTCTGCAAATTGAATTCACTCGTTGACTGGGATTGCTTTGGCTGTACGAGTGCTTTGGCTGTACGAGTGCTTTGGCTGTACGAGTGCTTTGGCTGTACGAGTGCTTTGGCTGTACAAGTGCTTCAGCTGTACAAGTGCTTCAGCTGTACGAGTAGTGCAATTTGTGGGCAACCTCTGCCCTTGCAATTCTCACCAATGACGACAACAAGCCGCCAGCCTTCTCTGGGCGCGAAACTGGATCTCTGTTGTGCTTTTCAAAAAAGCAGCCATCAGGGCGAGTGCTCTTCTTTTTTTGGATCTCACTGGAAAAGAACTCCATGGAGCCTCACGCACTTTGGCCACCATCTTCTTTTCTAACAGCTCTGCTGCTTTTCAGTGGATCAATCCACGAGATCACCTCATTTCTGTTTTGAAGGGCGGCCTGATCATTGCATTGTCCTTGGAATGGAGACAAGAAGATGTCATCATTGTCGGCGTCGTCGGCACCTTCAGGATCAGCAGAGCCATTGATTCGAGTGTTGCCCAAGGATGTGGTGGATCGTATAGCGGCAGGAGAAGTTGTCCAACGTCCAGCCAATGCGCTAAAGGAACTTCTCGAAAACTGTCTCGATGCGGGTGCTACCAAGGTTTTGGTCACTGTCGACAAGAAATCTGGCGGTGCTGGGAAGCAAATGTTGGACTTTTCAATCTCCGACAATGGTCATGGCATTGGTAAAGCTGACCTTGAAGTGGCTGCTACTCGATTTGCGACTTCCAAATTGACCAATGTCGACGATTTTAAAACACTGTCCAGTTTTGGATTTCGAGGGGAAGCTTTGGCCAGCATTTCCATGGTCAGTCACTTGACCATTACCAGCAAGACGAACCAATCTGGTGTAGTGGCACATGAATGTCAGTATCTGGATGGCCGACCGCAACCGGGACACCCAAAGCAATGCGCGAGAACTGTTGGGACGACAGTCAAGGTACAAGATTTGTTTTATAACGTACCACATCGTCTCAGGGCTCTCAAGCCCAAAGATGAATACACAAGAATGCTCAACATGATGCAGCCGTATGCTGTACACGTGGCGAGACGAGGCGTGGGGATCGTTGTGCAGCACCAGCAAGCAAAGGGAAAAACCAGCAAAACAGTAGTGGATCTCAATACCTCCAATCTATCCAAACTGACGGCACTCACTCGCATGGACGCCACGGAACGAGATTCGACAGGCCCATTCTTGTCACCAATCCAACAAGAAGCCACAAAGCAGGTCATCAAGACTCTCTATGGAAGCTGTTGGGGGCAAAACTTGCTGTACTTTCAATCCAAAAGTTGTCAAGAAGACGAGGAGGATCAATCATCGTCATCATCCAAATCCATGAGTTACACTTGTGAAGGATTCTTGGCGTCTCCCAGTCTTGCAGCCGACGGCAAAGTCCAATTGCAGACCAAAAATGCGATTTCCAATCTCTTTGTCAACAATCGATACGTGGAGTGTCCGGCTTTGAAGAGACGTCTGGAAGACACCTATGCCACGTTGACCTCTTGGAAGAAGCCACCCTTTATCTATCTAACCATTCAGGTGCCACCAAACCATGTCGACGTAAATGTGCATCCGACCAAAACACAGGTTGCATTGCTATTCTTAGAGGAGATTGTGACCGACGTGGCAGCCAAAGTCCATGAGTTGCTCAATGCACAAGGACAAACCTTTGGCGAACGACACAGCAAGAAGGTTGCCATGCCGGAAAATCCATACAAGAAAAAGGGACCAGCAAGGCAAGCTTCCCAGCAATCCACTACTAGTGGCAACAATGCCTCTTCCAATGGAAGCAAGAAGCGCAAGCAAGACATTGATGATGACTACCAGGAGAAAACAGATACCGGTAACACCGCCAAAAAGACAAAACAGCATTCTAGCAGTACGAATGACAACAATAGTAAAAGCAGCCAAACACCCCAACAATCATCGCAAACTCGAAGGAACTCTTCCTCGTCGTCAATGACCCAGCCCAGAATATATTCACACAACAAAATCAGAACCAGCAAGGCAGCTCCCGCCGGTGCCCTGGAGCCATTTTTAGTTCGCAATGTCAAACCTGCGGCCGTGAGCGGCACCCCATCCACGGCTGCATCCACACCGCCCCCTTCCAGCTTGTCGTCCCAATACTCTACTACAACGAGTACTAGCAATTCTATCGGGGAAAGCTCACAAGTGACGCAACAAACTCCCCAAGACCCAAGCTTGCACAGAGGTACATGCCCCTTTGCATCGGGTTCTTCATCCGTTGACATGTCTCAACCAGGAGCCTTTGCTCGGGCGTCGCAACAATGCACTTGCAGGGCAGAGAAAATGCAAGAGGAAATGGCATCGCAGTCACAGCCGCCGTCGGTCTATCTTACACCACAACAGCAAGTAGTCCGCCCCACCGTTGTGGTTCCGACCAAATGCGATCTGGGTTCGGTTCGAAAGCTCCGACGCCAGGTGCAAAAAAGAATGGATGCGGACTTGCAAAAGAAACTACGAAAAAGCATGTTTGTTGGCGTCGTCTCGCAGCATAGATCGCTGGTGCAATGCCAAGAAGAATTGTGCCTCTTACATCACAGCAACTTGTCGCAAGCGTTGTTCTATCAATTGGCACTGGCTCACTTTGGAGGCAACCGCATTGCCACCTTCGGTCGCCCTGTCCATGTTCAGACAGCGATCGAACAAGTGCTCCAGATGGAAGAAGATCTTCAAGATCAAAAACTGGGGCTCACTTCTGAAAAGAAGAGCTCTGCGAAATGCATTGGTCTTTCTGGCCTTGAAGCGGTGAATGAAACAAATGAAGTTATGGCAAAGCAAGCTACTCAATGCTTGTGGGACAATGCTGCCATGCTGGAAGAGTACTTTGGTATTCGCTTCGAATTGGACAAGAACGGTGAGAAACAACCACAAAAGGAAAGAGAGTCCTCCGAAACAGCACAGAAGGTGCTGCTAATGGGGCTACCCATCCTTTTGGAGGGCCATGCACCTCAACCACATGGCTTGCCGCTGTTCCTATTACGACTTGCTACGGAAGTTGATTGGGGGCACGAACGGCACTGCTTTGACGGGGTTTGCCGCGAACTAGGAAACTACTATGCTCTATTGCCTTCTTTCACTGATGGTGAAAATGACAACCTTCTGAAGGCCCAGGTGCAGCATGCGCTCTTTCCTGCGCTCTCCTTTCTTCTGATGCCTTCTCAGCAGTGTCAGGATGATGTCAAGCCGTTGACATGTCTGCCGAACCTGTACAAGGTGTTTGAGAGGTGCTAGCATTACTATGTTCGTGAGGCGAGGAAGACAATGGAATGGCGCCGTGAGATCCGCTTGACGCAATCAAGGCCAACCAAACAGACACAGTAAATAGCCAGATATGCAACATCTCCGCCCCTCTTCAGGTCCTTGCACAAGGCAACATCAGATTGAATGATATCATTATAACTTCTAGTTATTGCAATCTTATAAACTTTCCCGGTTTTGCTCTAATTTTGATACCTGGTACCATTGGTGCGTCGATCGCACTCTATAAACACCGCCTTGTTCTAGTTGATGGCCATTTGGATTCCCAGCTTCGCCTCCTCTGACAGCGTGGAAAATGCAGCATTCGTCACAGCAGTGGGCAAAGTCTGAAACATTTTCGCAAGAGCCTGTGCCATGCGGAGACGAGTTTCCTGATCTGCAATATCTTCGTCCTCGGCAAATGCTATAGTTTCTCCCAACACGCGCAGAATAGAAGCGACGTTTGTCGTGGTTACGTCAAGGCTTCCCGTTTCAATCAACTCCACAACTGCTTCATGACAAATCTTGGCTTCATCTGGATCCTCTCGAAGCGGTAGATTGTTCACGAATATGTTGAGCAACTCATCACGACTGACTGGGGCTGAGGCAGCGAATGGAGCCTTCCCAATGAGTGTCATTGACGCCAAGGCCGACACTGCATTCTCGTAGCACATTGGGTTATCACTTTCATCCTTCGAGGAGGCTTTCAGCACCTTTAGCAGATTTTGGCAGATGCTTTCCAGGTGAGGCGCCAGTACAGAGCTGGGGGCATGGCGGACAATCTGTGAAATCCCGTAGAGAGAAGCTGATTGAAGTTCACTGTCGTTACCATTGGTTTGCTCGTCAATACCCAGAATAATCCCGTAGACAAGTTTTTGCGAGTGCACTGCCGCAGCCTCCGGACCGCAGTGCTCGACTACATCATCGTACAGGCACACAGCCGCCAGCTTGGCCCTGATGTCACCGTTCGTCAGGGCGGGGCCAAGGACCGGAGCAACGAACTAAGAGTTGCAGGAGAAAAAGTGAGGATTGCTGGCACCAAGCAAAACACAGACTGCAGTGGGACGTTACCTTTTCGAACACTGGCATAAATTGCTCCTTGAAAAGCTTTAGGGTGTAACCCACAGAGTCGACGAGGGGTGTCAACAGCTGTTCTTCTTGACGAAGCTGTGCATGACATTCCTCTTGCTCGTCCTCGCCTGTAAGGGTTCCTTCCTGTCCAGACAAGACACGGTACACATTGGACCTGCGTTTGAGACAAGCTGAGATGGCTGCCATGGCAATGCCCACCACTTCGGTTGCGTCGGCCAAGGTGTAGACCGAAGTTGCGTGCTGAAAATAACCTTCCTTTCGTTGGTGCATGCTATAAAAGAGTTCGCTTAGTGCATCGCAGATTGCAAACATGGCATCATGATCGTCAGTATCCTCTACTTTGATCTGATTTGCCACTGCTTTCACAAGCGTAGGAAAACATGGAAGCAGCTGCGAGCTGTCCCCAGTTTCATCTGCATACAGGCAGCCTGCTTCCCAGAGCTTTCCTACTGCTAAGGCGGACGTAGCCCGGACTTCAGGCGAGAACTTGAAGTTAACCAATGGGGTGAATGCCTCCAAGCAAGGCAGGACATATGGCTGAAAACCTTTATTTGTAGAAAGGGCTACAGCATGTTCGTAGATTGCGCGCGCTGCTTGTGCCTTGGTTTCAATCTGTGAAGTGTTGACAGTGAATTTCTTCACTCCCTTTCCGGGCACGGCCACGGTCATGCTCTCAGTACCGTCCTCGTCGATCTCCAGCTGTTGGCGCTTCGTAGCATTGAGACCAGCTTCATCTCCCTCCTATCACATGCAACGTGGCGACATGACGACTAGCAACTAAGTAATCTGGCAAACAGACAAGACAAGACAATAACAAGCGACCAACGTACCGTTACCGAAACATCTGGCGGTGCCACTGCCCGTTGAATCAAATGGGGCACAACCGCGTGCAAAAAGGGGATGTAGTCTACATCCATGACTGATGCAATTCTAGCACAAGCCGACAATATCTGGTCAATTGGCATGTCCGAAGAAACGATGTCCGCATTCTGAAGGATGGGCACAATGAATTGCATAAGCTCTCCTGCCGAGCGAACATACTGATTTCGGGTTGACTCGTCGGATGCCACAGCTTGGCCCACAATAGTAGCCGCCTCAATGGAGGCACCAATGAGTTGGCATGCCTCATGTCCAACCGGCTGGACTCGGGAGCAAGCCAAGAGACAGGGCATGACTGTGGCATAGAACGGAGCAAATGCTTCTCCACTACTCTGGGCCAGTGCTGCAACAGCCCCTACAGCTCGGATTTTGACAACAGTGGCTCCTCGATCCAAGCTGGGATTGGACAGGGGACCATTCAACGCCTGCAACAAATCTGATAAAAAGGCCACCACAGGATTTCCTTCTTCTTGGGACATTCGAGCAAAAGAGACAATGGCCAAGCAGGACATGGTGGCAACTTTGGAGCAAGGCGACTGGACAGCCTGTGCGAGGGTTTGCAGCACTTGTACAGCATAGTTTTGTTGCATCATTTTGACAATGGTGGAAATCTCCGTTTCACAAAGGACCCCCAGCAAACGCACGGCTTGCCACTGGACTCGAATGGGTTGCGTGGAGCTTGCCATGCTCACAGCCGCATTGACCGCCACGGGAACATGGCTTGCAAAGGCAATCTTTTGAGCGCAAGCTTCCATCATGGCCAAACCAGCACAGTGTCGTCTCCAGTCCGTGTGGCTTGGTTGCAACTGTTGTTCCACCAGTGGAAGGGCCACCGCCAATGTTGGAGCGGGCAAGGAGTGAAGAAGGGATTGAAGCAAGCTTTCCGCGTGTTGAGCCGTGTCATCGCCATCCCAAGGATCTTCCTCCAACAGCGATGCTGGTTCACTGGCCCATGCTTGTGCATCCTCATCCATACCCACAGTCATCCACTGCGCCAACAAGGCCACGGCACCTTGCTGCGTACCGTTGCCCATTAGAATTTGCTGGCACAATGCCGGATCATTGGTCAAGATTTTACGCTTGACATCTCCGACGGCACTGAGAGTGGTCACAACGTCCAAGGCTGCCAATGCCGTAGTTCCATCATCGTCGCAGTTGTTGTTGTTGTTGTTTGCAATGGCCAAGCAAACTCCAAAGACAGCTTCCAAGACGGCTTTATCGCCGGCCAAAAAGGAAGGGCACTGCGATGCCGCCAGAGTCCATTCTTGAAGCATGGCCAATGATGATGATGATGATGAGCTTGTTTCGGAGGAGGATGATGACCACTGCTGCATCAATTTGGGCAAACAGCTTCGTCCCAATGCAGCTGCCACCGAGTTGGGATCAATAGTGGCATTTTCCTCGCCAGTGGTAAATGGCAACAAGATGGTCTGCTGGGTTGCTTGGGTGGCAACGGCTGCGTGCACCAAGAGTTGCATGAGGGCCTCCAAGAGTTGTTCATTGTTGTGGTTGTTATTGTTGGAGAAGGTCACTTGCTGAATGAGATTTTCGAGGGATGGAACAGCGGTAGTGGCAAAGACGAGAGGAGCCCGTTCTGTCATGGCAGTTAACAAACGAAGTGACGCAATGTCACCTTGTCCCACCTGAGAAAAATAATCAAAAAGCCAAATTAGTTGTTTGGTGAGTGCCAAAATAATACTAATGATACAGATTATTATTTTCATACAGTTACTTACCGCATTTCCAATGGCCGTGAGAATTCGGTTCATGACACGTTCTTGGTTGGATGGCGCCAACATGGCGACGGATCCAGCAATCTCTGCCAGACAATGTCCAATGGCAATGCGATTGGTTGTCGTGCTGCTGGCAGTAGTGTTAGCCGTCAAAAATGCCTGCAAAAGAGGATCCACGAGTGCTTCCGGGGATTCCGTCATGCGCAGAATGTCTCGACGCAACAAGACGGCCGCCAAGTGTCCATGGGTAGAGTTGTTGTTGTTGTTGTCATTGGCCTGAATGACAATGGGAAGAAATCCTTGGACTCGTTGGGCGACGGACAACGTCTGCAAGAAGGCTTCTCCTTGACTGCGACACTGAGCATCAGCAGATAACAACGAGTTGAGGAGATCAGGGGTGATGGTACCGGAGGACGCCATGGTGGTCAAAAAGAAAGACAGACAGAAACAGAGGAAATGCACAATGCTTTGTCTGATGGAAAATGAGACAAAGCTAAAAGACACGACGAGGGAAGATCGAGTTTCGGGCGCGGCTGATTTTTGGCGGGAGATTCGATTCATTCGAATGTGATTCGTTTCGAATTGAATGAACAATTTAGCCGAATTTTGCTTATTCGAATTGGATCTTTCGGCATGAAATCTTTCTCGATCGGAACCTTATTCCGAAGCCCACACCAACACACCAACAACACTTCATTCCATTAATTAGAATAGCGGTACCGGTAGCAACCTCACCCAATGGCTGATTGATTGATTGATTGATTGATTGTCTGGCGCATCTGAACTATTACTGAGTATTATTGGTGGACTGATCAGTGAGTGTATACATAAGTTTAAAATTTATCAACATAATGCCGTTTGACAACGACGATGCGAATCAGAATCGTGAAGGCGCAGAAGACAATGATGATGATGACGACGACGACGATGGCGACAATTTTTGGGGTGATATAGACTTGACAGAATTTGACGAATTGGAAAAGGATGATGGTGACAAGACTAAGGAGCCAGTGGTTGACTTGAGGACCCCAGGAGCCGAGCACTTGCTGATTCTCTTGGATTTGTCTCCCGACATGTTTCAACCTACCATTGCCACAAACAAAACCAAAAATTACAACAGCAAGAAAAAACAGTCTTCTTCTCAATCCAGCAACAACGACGTGGAATGGAGTCAAAGTCAATTTGATGTGGATGGGGACAACAGTCAGGACCATAATGGCAAACCACCAAAAGATCCAGAAGTATCATTCATCACACCCGTCGACGCAGTGCTCCAAGCATTGCAAGAGCATATTCGACGCAATGTACGACGCAATGTGCAAACCAAATCGGGAAAACGAAATGGATTTGGTCTGGCGCTTTTTGGCACACGAAAACGAACACGCGTCGATATTGACGAACTCTTGGCAGCCAACCGAGACAAACGGCGTTTTGGTAAACAAAAGCAGACGAAAAAGAATGACGATGATGACAATTCTCTGGTCGAAGAAGAAGAAGCAGAAAAGAAGAAGAAGGATTCCGATGAAGATTCCGATTCCGATGACAGTGATGATGATGACGATGACATGCGCCCCAAATCCAACCGAGCCAGTGGACGAACCACCATTCACCATTTGATTGCTCTAGAACCACCCGGTGTCGACACGGTCAAAATACTTAGACAATGCCTCATGCCCGACAATAACGAACAACAAGAAGATGAAGAAGACCGCCGCATGTTAGACTTGAAGCACTTGTTTGGACACAAACCACAAAAACAGCAAGACGACGACTTTTTATCGGATTCATTACTCATTGCGCTCAATGACATTACGGGAACTTTTAAAGACGCTGAAAAGAATGGCGGATGTGTCCACAAGCTACGAACACCCGCCGAAAAAATTGGAAATGACAAAAAGTGCATTTGGATTGTCACCAATCAAGACGACTTTTGCAAGAGAGATCCCGAACGACAACGCATCATTCAAACTACGGTACAGGACCTACGCAACAATGGATTCGAAATCAAGGGATGGCCCTTGCCCCCGCCCACGGGAAAACGATCCGCCGTTGCAGCACGCAAAGAAAGTTGCTTTTTTGACAAGATTGCCGACATTCCAGATGATCTGCGGCAGATGCTACAACGGGCCATGAAGGGACGCAGAAGTAGTAGTAGTAGTGCGCGAGAATAAGCACTATTATTACGACTTGCAAGATATCGATGATGTCTTGTCGGGGCACTGGAAGACCATCCGAAAGTCGTTACAAGTGCCACTGCTGTTCCCGGATCAAGTGCCATTCTTTCTACAGAAACTACAACCACCAACCAATCAGCAAGACAATACCGGTAGCATCAAGCAAGAAGACGTTGAAAATGATGGCGACAAGATGGAAACGGATGGTGACAAAAAGGAAGGGAAGAAAGAAAAGGGAAAGGGGGAAGAAGAAGAAGAAGATACAAAACAACAACTTGCACCATCCATTACCCTGGACTTTTTCACGCTAGTGTCGCTCCGAAGATTCCCACTGGAGAGAAGATCAAAGCTGAGATAGGGAAAGACGAGAAGCCTGTGGAACTGGTGTCGTACTCCTACAAACAAACTATGTCAGGAGAAATACTCGCCAAGTTCAAATCCAAAGCCACGGACGAGGAAAAGGAGCAGGAAAGGCAACAACCGGGACTGGCGCGAATCCGAAAGTTTCATGCCTTGAAGACCAAAGAGATTGTGCCCATCAAGGTGGAGGAAGTGGTGAGCTCAAGAAACAATCCAATGCAACCGAGTTTCGTAGTTTGACTCTACTGGGGTTCAAAAAGCCCGAGAAGGTACCACTCCACATGAACTTGAAATCCTACTTTGTATACCCCAATGAAGACGCGATTGAGGGAAGCACGGCAGCCTTTGCTCACTTGCATCAGGCCATGCTCAAGAAAAAGGTTGTGGGGATTGGGGAACTTCTAGTACGTCACTCGGCCACCTCCAGACTTGTGGCTATCCAGGCCATGGAGGAAGTGATGGACAGGGATAATGGCGACGGTGACAGTGACGAGAGAGCGAAGATGAGATTGCTCAGTTGTACCCGCCGGGTTGGATTGTGACTTATCTGCCGTTCGAGAACGAAGGTGAGCTTATTTGCACCAGATTGCATGATTGACCAATGAAAGCATGTTCGGTCTCTCCTTACAATACGTGCCCTGCGACACAAAGTTCGTACGATTCCACCAGACAAGTCGACGAATGAGAATTTGATGTTCCGGACGATGTGGTCCAGGCAGCCACGGCTGTTCTTGCTACCATGCGATTGGACGATTTTGACATTTCAAGTGGGTCAAGTCTGGTCACCTGGAAAAATTTTGGGTAAGTTTTGGTCAGTCCAGGGATTGTCTCGCGCCAATTAGCTTTGAACAATGGCAGTCAATCGTCTCTTTTTTGTTTTGGATGAGCTCAGCACTGCTTCTGTCCTTCTGTTCACTGGTAGGATTATATTGAAAGTGTGGCTGAGGAAACGGCTCTCTCTCCTTCAAGGGACTATTGTATCCAAACTCTGAGCGAAGATGCTCTTGATGTCATTCGGGGGCCAGTCTCGGAACTGAAAGATGCCCTGCCAGAGGACCCAGTTGAGCCACCGAAGAAGCGCAAAGCTGCGAAACTGGAGGCGTCCGACGACACAGGTATGTTCAGAGTGTATTACTTTGGCGTGGAGTCACAGCTGTTGAGTGCTCATCTCTGAAGCCTTTCCAGATTGGGCCAAGGAACTCGGGAAGGCAACCTTGACAGGTACACAGTTTCCGATCTCAAGCTTGGCTGTGAAACTTACGGCATACCAAAGAGCGGCAAGAAAGCAGCTCTTATTGAGCGCCTTTCGGATGCAATTCGAGGTGGCGAGGACGCCTGAGAACGACGAGAGGAAATCATCGCAAATGGTGAAGGCAAGCAAATAGATGCAACCCAGCAGCCAGTAACCAGCCAGCACATTGCCTCTATCGATCGTAAACCAGGGAGCATCGCGGCACCGGAAAGATGATCTAATAGCAAGAACAACCACCGTAACAAACTGGCCTAATTTGAAGTATTGAAGCGCGCTCCTTTTCTCATTACATATCGATATACTTGTATTGATACTATACATTTGCCTACTGGTGCCTTTGTCATGCAGGTGGCGCTTACAGTAGCTGCCGCCTGGTTGGTGGGTCTAGTTGCCCACGAGCAGGCGACTCGGGAGGGCTGTGTGGAGGAGTGGAGAAGGGTGGAGGAGGAGGGGGGCTTCTGACTCTTTGCCCCTTTTTCTTCTTTCCAAACGAAGGATTGAAGAATTCCCGTTCAGCTTTGGCCAGTTCGAAGAGAAAGCTGTTCCACGCGTCTTCGGCCGTCGTTGGCTCTGCTTCACGGGTGGACGAGGAATTGAAGGTGAACGGCTGCGTATACCACTACTTTCTTCATCGCTCGGTTCTTCTTGACGGCCTCGACCTTGGCCACTTCCAGGCCGAACGCTATGCCCAGCACGGGCGACATCTTTGTCGATTCCACCATCAGGATCGAGCGCGAATTTGCTCACTGGGGCGCTAACAGGGCCTAGGCGACATTGGTTTGCAGTTTGCTTGGCTTGAAGGACGCACCAGGAGTCACAGTCGGCATTGGAAGTAAAACAAAGGAGTATACCGACGCAGATAACTCAACTTGAGGATCAAATTCGAGACATAAAGGGACGCCACCCTCGGCTTCTCGTGCAGCTCAAACCGAGTCCGTTTCATCGGTGGTGTAATGGGTTCCGATATCTGGATCCGCCCTGAGTGGACGAGCTACAAACTGCGAGAAGCGATGCCACTTCAACTTTGGCTGCCTGAAGGTAACTATCATCGCAAGGTGAGAGAGCCATCCCGACATCAAGTCATTCCCTCCAGTCGTCAGGCGAAGAAGGGACCACAGCAGGGAACTGACTCGACTCATTACTTTGGGGGGCAAATTGCCCAAGTTGGCAACTCATTCCACTAGTTCCTGCGTCTTGCGTGTGATCGACGCTACATTGTTGTCGACTTTGTTGCGCAAATGCATCATCTGCAGTCTTGTTGGCAGAGGAGCGTCAGCCAAGGATTTCGCGATTT